CGTGATCATCGAACAATCAAGCATTTCATTCAAAATAGTCAACAGGGTCGCAAGAAGCGTGTGGAAAAACCAAGGCGCAAAATAACTGCCCATGAACTGAGAAAAGTCAAGCGTGCAGCTGCCAAGATGCCACTTGCCACCAGTTTGGCCATATTTCAGAGCTGCAACATCACTGGAGTGCCCAAAAGCACAAGGTGTGCAATACTCAGAGACATGGCCAAGGTAAGAAAGGCTGAAAGACGACCACCACTGAACAAGACACACAAGCTGAAACGTCAAGACTGGGCCAAGAAATATCTCAAGACTGGTTTTTCTAAGGTTTTATGGACTGATGAAATGAGAGTGAGTCTTGATGGGCCAGATGGATGGGCCCGTGGCTGGATTGGTAAAGGGCAGAGAGCTCCAGTCCGACTCAGACGCCAGCAAGGTGGAGGTGGAGTACTGGTTTGGGCTGGTATCATCAAAGATGAGCTTGTGGGGCCTTTTCGGGTTGAGGATGGAGTCAAGCTCAACTCCCAGTCCTACTGCCAGTTTCTGGAAGACACCTTCTTCAAGCAGTGGTACAGGAAGAAGTCTGCATCCTTCAAGAAAAACATGATTTTCATGCAGGACAATGCTCCATCACACGCGTCCAAGTACTCCACAGCGTGGCTGCAAGAAAGGGTATAAAAGAAGAAAAACTAATGACATGGCCACCTTGTTCACCTGATCTGAACCCCATTGAGAACCTGTGGTCCATCATCAAATGTGAGATTTACAAGGAGGGAAAACAGTACACCTCTCTGAACAGTGTCTGGGAGGCTGTGGTTGCTGCTGCACGCAATGTTGATGGTGAACAGATCAAAACACTGACAGAATCCATGGATGGCAGGCTTTTGAGTGTCCTTGCAAAGAAAGGTGGCTATATTGGTCGCTGATTTGTTTTTGTTTTGTTTTTGAATGTCAGAAATGTATATTTGTGAATGTGGAGATGTTATATTGGTTTCACTGGTAAAAATAAATAATTGAAATGGGTATATATTTGTTTTTTGTTAAGTTGCCTAATAATTATGCACAGTAATAGTCACCTGCACACACAGATATCCCCCTAAAATAGCTAAAACTAAAAACAAACTAAAAACTACTTCCAAAAACATTCAGCTTTGATATTAATGAGTTTTTTGGGTTCATTGAGAACATGGTTGTTGTTCAATAATAAAATTATTCCTCAAAAATACAACTTGCCTAATAATTCTGCACTCCCTGTATAATCATGGTGTTTCCATTTAGTGCTCAGGTCGCTGTCCAACTGTTCATTTCATTTTTCAGCAGCCATTGTTTGGATTTTAGTTAAAAAAGGGACATTTTGTTCATGCATTTGTTTCCCATTCATTCATATGTTCATTTTTTGTCTTCCTAGGTTGATGTGTTTGGTTATGGTGCTGACCGTGATGGAAACTGGAGTCACTACTGGGAAATACTCACACAATACTAACAAAAGGTTAAGAACTGGAGTACATCCTGGAAATTATGAGTATAACATCATCGAGCAACTAGGGTTTGGTTTCAGCTAGAACTTTTAAAAGAAAAGTTTTTTTTAAAGAAAGACTTTGTTGATGTTGTGTTGTATAAATATATCTTAAATATATCTTAGTCATTTGTTAAGTGTTATGTTTGGAAAGAAAAAGGAAATTTTTGTTCCAATGTAGCTGTTGCTGTTCTTTTAGTCTATTGTGCAAGTGGTGTGATATGCCCATGTAGAAAGGACGGCAGTGCAACGCTGGACTTGCCCTTACTCTGGGCTCTGTTGAAATCTCCCAATTCTTTGAATCTTTGGGCTGAAGGAAGGACAATACTCGGTGTATTTATGCTCAATCAACAATCATTTATTTCCATACAATTCAACACTTAAGAGCATAAGGACCATCATGATGGGGAGACATGCCTGAAGAGGGTCACAGCAAGTCTCAAAATGGTGACGGGTTGCTCAGCTTTTTATAGTCTCTAGTGGCCCCCACCTAGTCGTAAAAGCCTAAATATTCACATTCTTTCTCTTTTACGGCGCCTAAGTTATGACCTCGGCTCCCTGTCTTTCTGCTCTTCTGAAAGGTGGGGGTATGGAATGTGGTCTGTCTCTTCTATTATCGGCACAAGGTCCTCTGCACACAACATTCTCTTCATGATTCAGCAGTATGAAATGTCAAGAAACAGTGTAACACATTCAACAGTGTCGAGTAATACAGGTCAATCCAATAGATCTAATGATTTTCACACTCTTTTAAGTCAGAAGTATAATGCAAACTAAGACTACATACTGATCACACACTCTATGTTAAAGGGTATAATATGATCTACAGCAGTATCATACTTCAACTACTTTGATTACATATATAAGGTAACATATGATAACAGAATAATATCACAGCTCCCTCTTTATTCTGGCAACTTGTACAAAGAAAACAGCACACAGTCTTCATTAACAATGTGCAAAGCAATTGCAACATTCAGTTCACCAGCTTGGGAGTTTTTTTTGTGACGTTGACCCAGTGTTTTGTGTTTTGTGTTTTTGGTTCTTTGATTTTGTTATTTCATTATATTCTAGCTTTGCATGGGTTTTAGGATTATTCTTAGTTTAGGTTCTCTGGGTGGGGTTTGGTTAGAGTTTTAGTGTTCTGGTTTTCTGTCTGTGTTCCATAGTTGCTGTCTCCCCTGTCTGCTGTATCCCCACATCCAGTCAGTGTCTGTGTCTGCCCTGGTCCCACGTCTCTGTTCCCTTTGTTATAGTGCCTGCCTGTGAGTCTGTGTTATGTTTCCTGTTTTACTTTGAAAGTCCATGTCTGATGTTAATGTGTCTGGTTTTGCTTCCCCTTGTCTCGTTAGGCCTGATTTGCCCCAGCTGTGTTTCCCTCCTGTTACCCATTCCCTGATTGCTCCCTCTGTGTATTTAAGCCCTGTGTTTCAGTTTGTCATTGTCTCGATCTACCTTTATCCTGCTGTGTGTTTTGTCTGTGTAGGTGTATTTTGTATTCTTAGGTTTTGTTACCCTTTTGAGTTCAGCATTAAAGCTGTTTTGTAGTGATGGGCAGATGAAGCTTCATGAAGCACTGAAGCTTTTCATCCTGGCGCAAAGCTTCTTGAAGCTTCATTTGCTCTAGTAGGACACCTACTGGACGTAAAAATATTAGTTGGCATGAATTTGAAGAGTGTGGCCTTTTGCACACAGCCTGTAAATGTCAACAACAAAAGGAGTGTGTAAAACATGTATATTGTAGTGATGGCAGTATACTGTGTATATTTATACTGGCAGTATGGAAAATGATTATTTGGAAATGCTTAAAATGGAAATGATCATTTACTGTGAGGTGAGGTGTGGTTGGGGTGTGGACAGTAGTTGTGCTTTTGTAACGTTGAGGTATGGACAGCTACACACTGAGGCTTTGAGCCTCAGTCCTGCCTGTTCACATTTTATTCTGTAAAAACTAAATTTTCACTGCTTTTATGACCTTTTTAGTGGGGAGAACATAGCTAGGATTTAATGATTTAACAAATCTTTTAAATTCTTTGTCCTCCACAATGCTAAATGGCTGGGAGTCCTCAATCACCATGCTAACCAGGTCTTCATCTATTTGAGATTGTTCTCCTGAGGAAAGACAATAAAGACAAAGCACAAATATAAATATCACACACGTAACTTATAACAGTTGTATAATATTGTTATATTCCACCAGTGTGTGAATGAATAGTGGCATTGTAAAGCGCTTTGGGTGCCTTGAAAAGCGCTATTGTGCTGCCACTGCTGGGGTGCAGTAGCTCCACCACCCCACTAGGGGGAGGAAGCGGGTTTGTGTACTCAAGTTTCTCTAGTAAATATAGGAAAAGTTCATGGAGTCTGGCCAAGTTGATACCAGCACACAAAATATTAGCTCTGAAGTTGGCTGTACTGGAGCATGAGAAATATATGCTTGTAAGTACGATTATATTCTGTGTTCATGTTAAGCATGTGATGTAAAATGGGTTGTTGACTCTCATATTTGAAGTTATACTGCCTATGCTAATTGTGTTAGCATGTCAATAGGAAATTATTGTTATTATTGTATAATATTGTTATATAATTTAGTAACATTACGGCATGCTATATTATCATGGCATTTGATGGCTCACCTGGTCTTGCTCCACAATTAAAGCTAAGCAAAGCTCTGTAGTGCCTAAGCATGGATGAGGTGTTGTTGTTATATCCCAGCTCCCTGGCACATAGCAAACACTTCACCTTGTACAAAAGTAAAGACAGCTTAACATAAATTGTATTGCACCATCAGTATTATGAAAATACATCTTCTGTAGAAATTTACATACCTTGTTGGGAGGAATAAGATCAAAATGTTCCCACACAGGGGAGGACATCCTCCTCTTCTTAGCTGGCTCCATTCTCTCCTGACTTTCTCTCCTCACTCTCATAAACCTCCAAACTGTCTCCAAACTCTCACTAACCGCAACTCTCCATCAAACACCCACATTTTGAATGAAGTCTGAGGGGTTTATATCGCTGTCATATCTCGCGGCAAAGTTCGAACCACTTCATGAACCAGTCACGTGGTACAGCCGGGCAGCGAGGCTTCGGACGTCATCATTTTCAGCTCCTCCCATAAATGAAGCAAGCCTCGATACGTGCATCGTGGAAACGCCCCCTCAATTACTCGACACAAGCTTCGAAGCCTCGATACAGAACGTCACATCACTACTGTTTTGAGTTACTTTCTGTCTCCGGAGTCTGCACTTTGGGTCCTTCTCCTGCCTACACACAGTCAATAAAGACTAGTCAGAAAATAATTTACTTACGGAGCCCCCCAGGGGACATGGGAGAAAAAAAAATTGGGGAGGAAAAAAAAAAAATTAGGGAGGAAAAAAAAAAATTAAGACGGACTTTTGCGAGATCTCGCAAAAGTATTGCGAGCGCTCGCAAAAGTATTGCGAGATCTCGCAATAAGTATTGCGAGCGCTCGCAAAAGTATTGCGAGATCTCGCAAAAGTATTGCGAGCGCTCGCAAAAGTATTGCGAGATCTCGCAATAAGTATTGCGAGCGCTCGCAAAAGTCTGATTTGGAGTCTGTACCTCCAAATCAGCACTGAAACCTTAGAAACAACCACAGCGATGGAGGACACACACCCATTTGAGCGATTCATAGATTTTTACTTTGAGCTTGGACTAAACTATAAAGACATTAAAACTGTGCTTTGCATTAGACACAGTTTTCATATAAGCGAAAGACATCTGAAGAGAGTTCTTAGCGCAAGGGGACACACTCGCCACAAAGCGTACTCTGACCTGGCCGTCTTGGTTGAATTTATAGACAACCAATTGCAGTACTCTGGGCAGCTTCACGGATACCGATGGATGTACGCTAAATGCAGGGAACATGGACTACGCGTGAGGAAAGAGGATGTGCGCTTGGTTTTGAAGGAGCTGGATCCCCGAGGCGTCGCACTGAGGCAAGCAGTACGTTTCAGGCGGAGGAACTATTTTTCAAAAGGGCCGAATTTCATCTGGCACATGGACTCCTACGACAAACTGAAGCCATATGGCATCTGTATCAATGGTAGTATTGACGGTTTCTCGAGAAAAATAATCTGGCTTAATGCATACACAACAAATAGTAATCCGAAAGTGATCGGGGGGTATTACATAGAAGCGGTGCAGCGTTTAAAGGGCTGCCCTAGAGTTGTGAGGGGCGATCTTGGAACTGAAAATGGCCATGTTAGAGGCTTTCAGCGTTTCCTTGTGCCCGTGGCTCCTAACGACACCCCTGAGAGTTACTTGGAGGGAGCAAGTACCGCCAATCAAAGGATTGAATACTGGTGGCGTTTTCTTCGCAGCCAGTGTCTGGAGTTCTGGTTATCCTTATTTGCAGACATCAGAGACAACGGGTACTTTGATGGTGGGTTTCTGGACAAAAACCTCCTTCAGTTTTGTTGCATGGGACTCATCCAGGTGAGTTAATAAAATATCTTTTGTTGCGTGCCTGGATGCATGCGTGTGTGAGTGAGAGATAAAGGAAACTGAGGAAGTGAAACGTCTCCTGTACTCGTTTGTGGTGTTCCCATTATCACAAATGTGGAAGCCAACTGCTCAGCCTCTGTGGTGGTGGTGGTGGTGGAGGACCCCCACTTTTTTTTCGGGCCTCCGCTTTTTTTCTGTTGGCTATAACGGGTCACATTTGAGCATACAGAGTAAGCAAATATGTACTTGTAATGTGCTCAGATAATTTCAATAAGTGCTTACAGAAAGAAATTAATGTAGCCTCTAACTGCAATTGATTTACATAGGACAAACAGACCAAGCACTATGGCTCATAATACAATTACACCTACCTGTTTGGACTATATTTTTATATTTCATTTTACTTGCTGCCAGGAACGTTTGGGGCCTGTTGGGTTGCACCTGCGCTCACATCACTCACAAAATAAAATGTATAAAATAAAAAATAAAATATAATAAAATAACGTGTTAAATGGGTGGAAATCCCTAGATCAATGTTTAAATTAACACTCACGCATTGACTCTGTCGGCTATGTTTTGCCATGCATGCTCCCTTTCTTTTGCAGCTGAGGCTGTGTTACTTTTTTCTCGCAAAATTTGCATGTTATCGGCATATGCTGCCATCAGAATTTCGGCTCAAGCGCTGTAAAATACATTGACCGCGCCTTCTTTCCCTCCGTCTCCATGGTGACTCGCTTAATCTGTGCTCCACTAATAGGGCTTTATGTATCCTCGTGCGCGGCTTAACTTGGGGTTAAAGCAACTCCGCGTTGATTAACTAATTGTTATCAGCCTTTCTGAAACCGAATATTCCGAGTTGGACAGTTCGGGGTTACTCAACCCTGAGTATCGTTTTTCACTTCCTGAAATAGGGCCCTGTACCAGGTTTAGGGAATGGAGAGACTTGCAGGAAGAAAGAGACAAGACAGGGAGAAGCGGGTGAGAGGAGCAGGGAGTAAATGAAATCAAAAATTGTGTAAATACTATAATTTCGGTTTAAGCAATCGGCCGCCTTAAGGAAGAGCTCAACAACCAAGACTACAGTAACATCTATGTTGTTTATGTTGACATGTCATATGAAATTTTCTTATCTATAATATTAACTATTTACAATTTGGAATTATTTCGATTGGGATATCAAAATAACTTACAAATACAAAATACAATGATCACTGACATAAAACAAATTGATTATTATGAGGTGAGTAGATGAGCCAAGCAGGTAGTAATAAGACTAATAGTACTAATGTAAGATATCACAGCATAACAGTAACCGTAGTTAGTGTGTGAAACACTTGTACAGATGACATTAGGTAAAGTACATGATTACAAAAATGCACATGATTGTTTAAAAATAATAAATTGCATAAATCTAATAAACCTTCCTCTCAGTGAGTGAGTTGTCTTATCGTGATTTGCGTATATGTATATACGTACATGCGATCGCATTTCTTAAATTTCTGTATTCTTTTTAACAGGATGAGCTGGATGACACTGCACAGGTTTGGAATACACACTCCATCAGGCCATCAGCAAACATCAATATCCCCAGTGGTCGACCTAATGTAATGTATACATTACCTGAGCTCTACGGGACAAGAGACTTCCTTTGCCCCACTGAAGAAGAACATGTTGAAATGTGTAAAACTGAGTGTGTTTTTCGACTGACCAAACCATGTGACCCCGATGTATATGAACTGTGCAATATCATCATGACTGAGTCCCATCTGACTCCACCAACAGACCCATATCAGGCTGTGAACTTGTACATGCATTTAAGAGAGAACATCATGGCATTAGTGTAAATTGCATACAATGCAGCAGAGAACATTACTCAAAATTGACCTGTGATATGTGCGAAAGCTAACTTCTGGATGTTAAACAGACTTTAAACTGTAAGCTTTCTAGTACACAGTCATTTATGAGAATATCTTATATAGAAATATTTATTGTTGTGTTCCAGGGGGGTCAGTGAACTAAAGTATAAAGGGGAGTCTCTGCCTGTTAATGATATTCTGAGTGTTCTTTAGCACAAAAACATTGTAATGTTCTGTCAAATGTTATCAAGTTCCATGTCTATGTGTATTACTTCGAATTACTTTAACTGTGTATTTGGCTTGATACATGGATCAAAACATAAGACACATCTTAATTTAATGTGTTAGGAGTTTAATGTACAGTGTTAAATCAGATAATGGTGGTTTATGTTGAGTATTTTGTAATAATTTTTAAATGGTGAGTTGGTTTTTATTTACACCATCTGTATTTGTTAATGATGGGAATGTTTAGTTGTTGATATTGGCTAGAATACTGTTTAAAATCGAAGAGATATGATATTATGCCTTGCTGCTTTATATATATTATAACGCCAACTGTCACATTGGCAGGCTACATGAAATGGTACTAAGGGGCATCATGATCTGAGAGGGGGCACCTTGGCATTTTGCTGAACTCCAGTTTCTCTGGCTAAAAATATAGTTATTTCATGTCATTTTTGCTTCTTTTTTTTTTTTAACTATTTATTCTGATTCCAGAAGAGCTTTAGTTTTTTAATGTTTAAACAAAACTGAAAAAATAAAGAACTAAATAGAGACCTTTTGAACTCTTAAAATTTCTAATAGATATAAACATTCTTTTTTTGTCACTGAATTTATCTGAAGCTTATTTTATCAGCTGAATAACAAATTCTTTGCACCCACCTGTTCTGTTGATGAACAGCAATTTCATTCGAATGCTATTTTTGCAAAACTCACCACTCATGAAAGGATGATATGTGTTGTTGAACTACCGGACAAATAAACTGAAATCGAATCAATTTCTAATCATTTTTGGACTATGTAGTACAGACAACTAAAAAATTGCAAATGACAAAAGCATATCGACAACATCTGTGTATTGACTGCCTGTGTTCCCAGGCACTTTAATTTCAGAGAAGGGTAGACAGAATTGCATAATCTTTCAAAAATGTAGCAATACTTTATAATTAACCATATATACTATTTAATCTAATTAGAAATCCTGGCCTACAATCTTGTTTATCATAGAAACTGTTAAATCTGATGATCATTGCTTGTTAATTTGTAATTATATAAGACAGTATAAAGAATTGTGAATCATCTGTATGTCACATTATGGCAAAGTCCTTTCCAAAAAAAAAAACTTGTGATGGCAATATGATTTTTAACAAAACAACTAGTAAACATTTTGGAAGCTAATCAAGGGAAAATAGGACTTATTGTTACAAGATTATGTTTATAGGCCACATCAGCTTTAAGAATTTGTAAACAGGGTCTTATCATTAACTTTCAATAACTTCTTTCGCAACCATAGTGACATTCTTTACTAATATTAATGGACTTTTCACACTAAAATCAAATTTACAAATTTTTCTGTTCGCTAGCTGTAGTATTCCTTAATCCACACTGTTTTAGTGTGAGTTGCCCAATTTTAGAGATATTGACTGTACAAGCCTACCCCTAAATTGTTTCACATGGTACTTAATGCTTAGTAGCAAAGTCCTTATGTAGACCTTATGTAGCTTCATGTTGTTTTTCAACAAGGAAGAGATCTCTACAGCTAATATCTCCCAAAACTAGGCAACTCACGACAAAACATTCTAGATGGATAAACAGCAAGCCAATGTGTGTCACTGCGGGGTATGCAGGTGTGTTGAGAGAACGTACCCAAAAGCAGACAAGGAGAGAGAGAGGACAATCAACTTAAAACAAAAGCGAGCCTTTATTCTGGCTGATGGCTGGAGTAAAAGAAAATAATGACAATGTGTACAGCAAATTTTGATGTGATCTGTCCCTCTAACGCTAAACACAAACCTTGTTTTCAACAGAAGTTAAAGATGTGGTCATTTTCAAAGAATTTTTAACAATAAAGAGTCCTTGTGAAATCTGACCTAACATACAACTAAACCATCAGAAAATTAAATTTGTGACTGCTTGTTATACGGCTGAATATATCAAATGCTTCAATGACAAAATGAAACAAGACAGAATTTATGAACTCAAGGATAATCATACAAATAAAAATTACAGCTCTAACCATTAGTACACTCATCAAGTTCAAATGATATCCATTTCAAAGTAATTGCTGGAAAGGACATTGTCGAACTCTGTGCGAAATTCAGGATAAGAACTGTAAGTGCATGGCACTTCAAGGGTAGCTCCACAGGTGTGAGCAACAGGCCTTCTGTTGAGCCCAGTTTCAGCATTAAAGCACACCAAAATTTTGTCAACACATATCACAGAAGATCCTGTGCAGAAGCGCAGGATTTTTTCAGCTTTGGTTTCATCAGCGTTTTTAACATAACGCTGAAGATGGTTAAACGTTGTTTGTTCTCCGTGAGACAGCATGATTTTTGTTGCTTCAAATAGCTGCACTAGTCTTTTGCCTGTGGCCTTCTTTGTCTTATACAGAGATAACACACTTTCCTTGTCTGCCAGTTTCAGCTGCAGATGTGCCATGGGTGTGGAGAAGCAATCCATTATATACTTTGGCTCTTGGAGAATGGCCTTATGAGCCATTGTTTCAATGGCAGGCTGCATGTTGTTCTTAGGTGGTAGGAAGTGGGAACCCATCCTTGTAAAAAGGTCAAGCAGGTCCTCTTCATCATTTTCATCCATTGTGCCTTGGAGAGCCTTCTCAACAGCTGATCTCTCAACAGGAGGCAGATAGTTGAGAAACGATGCAATCAGAATGTCTACATCAACTGAGTCCATTCCGTGTATGCAGGCTAAAATGAAAGCCCTTGACAGCCTCACTGGAAAGACACCATGGTCTAGTAAGCCTTTCACCCATATCTGCCCAACTGCTTGCCATTCAGCCTCACTGAAGTCTGGCCTCAGCCTTGGAACTCGTTCGTTTTCACCTTCACACTGTTCCAAAAATTGCTCCCAAAATGCAGTGTAAACCTCCCTTGACACCCCAGCATCATCAACAGCATTTTCATTTACAAAGTTCATCTTTAAAGTCACATTCAGAATGCGACTGTCCATAAATACAGCCAAAAGATCATCAACAACTTTTATCCTGCGAATTGATACATGTAGGGGGCTCTGTGGGTCTCCTGAATTTGATGGGGAAAGTTGGTTGCTTGAATCTAAACGCAAACCTTGGGCGATGAAATTCAGTCCATGGTCCTGAGTAAAAGACAAAACATGCACATTTCATAAGAAATGCAAATGAACTGTACAGATTACACAATATCAATGTTCTGAAAAAGTTTGAAATTTATTTGTCTAATTTTAGTGGGCTGTACATTCCCAAACCATGGTTGCACTGACAATTGATATATAACATTAACATTGTGGCCTGATGGATGTCCTTGTATGCCTCACAGAAAATTATACAAGTGTTCTTTACATGTATGAGAAGACTCACTTATGTGCAAAATAGGTAGAGAACACAATAGTGACACCAAAACAATGTCTCACTGCTGTGTTATGTAAATAACTTGATTTCAAGACTAAATTTCCTGTTTAATCTTATGTTAATGTAAAACACTGGAATTGTCTCTCAACTGACAATATCATTTTAATTCAAATAGACCCACAAACTGCCATATCCTCAGAAAATAGCATGAAATTTTTGGCATCTCTACAGTATGTAAAGGTTGGTGTTTATGGTTGCCTGAATTGATCCATCTTACCTGTGCAATCTGGGGTGCTTCCTCTTGTATTGACTGCATATGGGGTGTGGGCAAGCCATTAGCTGAAGACAATGGTAGCAGGAAACCATCCATAGGTAATCCATTTGTGTCGGCATTCTGAGAAGGAAGTATTGCATTAATTGACAACAGACACCTTAACCCTTCAAGATTAGAAGACTCTTCTTCAATCTTCTACCTTGGCCTATTCTAAGTCATGAATGTTCTTAAAAAGTCTGCAAAATATGTCAATAGGTATTAAGAAATAGAACAAAAATACACCACTTTATTTTCAGCCTACATGTCTCACTTACAAGAGTAAAAAGACATATTACAGTGGAATCCCACAGGTTTTTATCAGATCTTGATGTACTTATTGCTACTTAAAATGTTGTATTACTGCTGCAAAAAAATCAAGTTTTAAACAAACAAGAGATGAATTCTGATTAATAGAAATTGAGCAATTCTTTCACAGTACTGTGAGTTATTTCTTTTAAGATCCAAAAGAATATTACAGAAAATAACACACATGCTTCAATTTTGTCCAAGCAGGAATGCATGATCAGCTTTTTTAAAATCAGAACTATGCAAGTTACTGAATTTGATTATTAATAAATTTCCATATTTTGTCACACTTGAACCATATCAACCACAACTGACCATGGTCTTACCTGTCTGAGATCCTCACTGTTGACATAATTCAGGGTTATCACGACTGTGTCATCACCATCTGCTCTGACAAGATCCTCTTCAGGATTCCATACAACCGTATCCGCTTCATCTATGTGTGGAAAACGACATTCCAAATCTTCTGGAAGTTTGTCGCAGGACTCTAGTTTGAAGGATTTGTTAGGAACTATACTGGTCAGATCAATAATTTCAGAGCAGTGGTCAGGGAAATCATGATCACTTGAGTCAGTCTGCTGCCGCTGTCCCACGACAGTGTTTTTAATGTCTGTTGGGGTTGAATGCATATGATGGGATTTTCCTGGACTTTGTGTTGTCACTGCCTCACAGAGTGATTTCAGTTTTTTTGGATTGGGTTCCATCTGGAAATTGTGAATCTGTGAACCAGAAAACAAACACAAGACACAAACGAAAATAATTCAATTATTTTTTCAGCAGCCAGTCATTTTGTACATGTTAATGAATAAAAAGCTGTAAGTCTTTCACAGATGTATTAAATGTACCTTACCACACAAGTCAACAACAAATTCCTGGAATAATTTCATCCTTCAGAAGTGCAAATATTCGTAGATGTACATAAAGCACTTGAATAAGACAACTCTTTATTGCAGTTGCACAGTCAAACCTAGTACAATAGTACAACAAAATTAGAAAATGTCGCATGTTACCACCGAGCACTACTAAAGACAACAAAATACAGTAACTTTAAAGTGATCATTATTTTTAATAATAACTTTCTTATTTTAACAAACCTGTTTGCCAGTGTCACTGTCAGATGAATCCCCATGTTCAAGTAGATCTGGGACAAAATCATCTGTCTCACTGTCAAATCCAAGTAATGTCACCGGTGAATCTTCTTCAGTTATGCTGACAGAAAAATCCTCTTCAGATGAGGACTGAACTGTTAACAGTGTTTCATCTTTCGTGCAAATGTAAAATCTCAGGAGCTTCAATTTGGTTTGTTCATAAAGTTTGCCAACAGTGTCATCTAAAGCAATCGGATTTCTTTTAAAATCACAGATATCAATGACAAAGTCTTCAACTCTCCCTTTTGGCGAGTACCCATCTGGAAAAAACAGGTCCTTTCCCATTTCCAAAATCTTAGCTACAGTTGTAGTTTTTTCCACAGTTGCATGTCTTGTTCCTCCACCATTTCTGGTTCTCACTTGACGGTATTCATTATTGCTTAAATGAAGCCATCCGATTTCGATTTTTCTGCAGGTCTTCTCTGCTGCAGTATTTCTCTGTCTTGCCATCCCTTCACTTTGCTTTTGGAACACACCTGATGAACCACACAGCACTCCTTTGGTTTTTGATCTTACTTTCCGTGCCGCAATTTTATCTCTTAGGTTCTGCAGAACAGTCTCTTTATCTGTGCTGTACTTAGTTTGTTGACAGAAGGACTGGACAGCTAGTCTGTCACCATATGTCCTTATGTATTTTGCCATTTGTCCATCAGTCATGACGGACAGCACTGCCTTATCCACCTGCAGACATAAAACATTAGAGAAATGGTATTAATATACTTTTACTCTAGGAAGCCACACTAGCACACATGGAATACTAACTGTATTGGAATAGAGTTCTTAATCACTGTTCATGATCATTATCAAAAGTTACTCTGTCAACTTCTGTCTTATTACTTTACTGTTGCTGTGTTAGTATTAGTATAGTCATAGTAGTAGATATTTATATATGTTGGGAGAAAACCCTGCAAAATAAACCCAGGAGGAATAGAGACACAATGAGACAAAGTTACTTTTTTATGCTTAACGTGTACACGGGTGAGCTGCTGGAAACAACCCACAACCATGGACAGTGGCTTGGCATTTTTATAGGCACAAATCACAGAGACAGTGAGAACAGGATAAGAAAATAATAAACAGATAAAATAAACAACTCCATATATGGTGCTAGTCTCGTCAGCTGAGAGCTGGGAGAGATAAAACAATCTGAAACAATATGTCCCCGAAACAATATGTCTTTGCTGGGAAAGTCTAAAAAGACACTTCTAAACTAATCTAACCACAGACAAAGGGCATCTTTGTACATTTAAAAGAAGGTAAAGAAACATAGAATCATTTTTCCTGTAGCAATATACTACGTTACTAAAAAATATTTTGCTAGTAAGGTATAAGTAAGGTAAGTTCCACCAAGTATTTTGTGCCATGCTGTCCATGTTACCATGGTAATGGCACAGCCAGATAACAA